ATGCAGATTCTGCCACTGCCTGCAACTCCCAGAGAGCTTTCTGGGTTGGCTGGTTTGTTTTTAGGCTGAGTCTGGCTCTTTGCCCAGGCTGGAATATAGTGGCCTGATCTTGGCTCATTGCAACCTCCGCCTCCTGGGTTCAAGTGATTCTCCTGCCTCAGCCTCCAGAGTAGCTGGGATTACAGGTATGTACCACCACATCTAGCTAATTTTTGTACGTTTAGTAGAGATGGTTTTTGCCATGTTGGCCAGGCTGGTCTCGAACTCCTGGCATCAGGTGGTCTGCCCGCCTTGGCCTCCCAAAGTGCTGGGATTACAGGTGTAAGTCACCTTGCCCGGCTGCAAGAGAGCTTTTTGATGGGATATCCTATGCCCCTCTAAGCTCTAGTCAGATGCCCCCCACCCCCAGGAAGCCCCCATTCTTGATTTGCATCTATCCCATAGTAGGAAGGTGGTACAGCCTAGCGGCCACAGGCAGGGGCTGGGGCTGGGGAGTTCAGGCAGGCTGCTTTCAGTTCTCCGCTCTGCCAATCACCAGATCTTGGGCTAGCCATTTAACCTTTGTGAGTCTATTTCATCATCTGTAAAGTGGGTCTAAAGTTACCCATCTCGTGGGGTCTGCAAGGTGGTTAATGCATTGCCTTCCACTTAGAAACTGCATGTGAAAGCAGACTTATTTATCCTTAGCTACTCCATTCCATATCCTTATTCTTAGGCACACATTTTTTTGTGAAATCGGGATTCAATGTACAATCAGTGGACAAGAAGTTTAATTAAACTGCTGGTGTGGGTTGCCATTCATGGTGTCTTGGGCTGGAAGAACGTGGTCTAGGTGTGTACTCGTTATCTCCTCTACTTTCTGGTTCGCATTGACTGGATCTGCTGGACTGGAAGCACTTCAAAGGCAGGAAAGGCAGGGAGGGCATCTTGTCTGTGTCCTCCCAGCAAAGGGCCTTTAGTGTTTGCTGGGCTGTATTCTGGCAAGGACTTGCCCAGTTATACAAAAAAGCAGGGCCAGGAAAAACACCCCTGCCACTTGATTCCATCTTGCAGACTTCAGCATGTTGGCTGGAGTTCTCTGGCTGTCCCACCTCTCCCAGGCCAGGACCTTAGCATCCCTGCTGTGAGTGCTGGGCAAGTCCAGCTCTTCTCTTAGTTGTCATTTGGAGGGGACACTGGGTGGCACAGAATGTGGCTCTGACACTCCAGGGGGCTCTGCCAGTGACTTCCTAAGTGCAGTCCCAAGGTGGAAACATGATTTCAGAAGGACTGTGGGTCCCTGAAGCTTCAGGTTACAGGACCTGAGGGTGGAGTGGCCAGGGATGGCAAGGTGCTTTAGTCCTATACATATAGATTTTTAGCTTGGTAGCTATTTACCCCGATCTGGGTGCATGCTTGCCAGCTGCCCACAGGTGGGTTGGGACCTTCTAGGTCTGGAAGGTCCTGGAGCTAAGCACAGATGCTAGAAGCCCTATACCCTGATTTGCCTGAGCCCCCGCCCAAATTGTAGCTCCCACAATTCCCTCGGGTTGTGGGAGGGAGCCAGTGGAAGATAATTGAATCACAGGGTGCTTCCCCCATACTGTTCTCGAGGTAGTGAATAAGTCTCATGAGATCTGATGGTTTTATAAGGGGGATCCCTTTCACTTGGCTCTCATTCTCTCCTGCTGCCGCCATATAAGAAGTGCCTTTCACCTTCCACCATGATTATGAGGCCTCGCCAGCCACGTGGAACTGTGAGTCCATTAAACCTCTTTCTCTTTGAAGTCTTGGGTATATCTTTATCAGAAGCATGAAAACAGACTAATACACCCCCTTACCATGCTGGAGATGCTCTTCCTTAGACCCCCGGATGGGGTTATTCCAGACCTGGACCAGGAGTCCCCACATTGTCCCCAGGACATCATGCCTTCCTTTCATAGGAGTGGTGTGGAATGGACGATTGGTGGGCAGATGAGGGCTAGTCCTGAAGCCTAATGAATAGAGTAGAAGACTTTTTGCTTAGATGATATGTTTATTGGTAGTGCTTTGGGGAGCAGGGAACTTTCTTCTCTGAGTGACCTCATACATCTCATGCAAACTTAAATTCTACATTTTGTTGTTTCACAGGAATCAAGGCCATAGGCCAGACCAGCTCCCCTTGCTCCAGCCTGTGCCGACACCTTTAGAGGGACCCTAGGCACAGGAAAGCCCCTCCCAGTGCACACCAGTATAAGAGCTTCAAAAAGGCACGTAAATATAGCTTTCTAGCCCCCTCCCTCTCTCCTTAGGGCTCAAATACAGGATCTGAAGTGGAGGGGGCTTGGGTGTGGGGCTGCAGGCAGCAGGTCAGGAACACATTTCTTGCTCTTGCACCTCAATTCTGGCTGGGCCTTGGGGCTTACACCCTGAATCTCCAGGGTCACCAAACATTTTTCTCCAGCCCCCCACCACCAGTCCTCCAGAAGTTGGCACAGGGCAGCTAAGGGTAAGATACTGTCATCCTATGGTCCTGACCCTCTCCCAGTCTCTGCAACACACAGACACATGAACACACACAATTGCATGTCTCTTTAAGGGAGCATTAGGTTTATTTCTAGTTAGGCTGAATTACTGGGGAGATGGCTGGTGCCACCATAAGTCCTTGGTCTGGCCAAGGGACCTGAGGTGGCATAGTCTGGCAGCCTGAGAACCTCCTTTCCAGAGATTAATGCCAGGGGGTCAGGTAGTTGACACGACTGTGAAGAGAAGTAGGGGTGAGGTGGGGACTTCCAGGGTGTCCTGGGGGAAAAACCAGGCTTTCCCCCTCTAGGCTCTGAAAACACAGCTTCCAGCCAGCCTCTATGTGGCTCAGAAGCCTTCAGTGGCTCCCTGTTTTCTGCATTTTCAGCTGTCCTCCTTAGCTTTCAAGCTAACCCCCCTCCTCTGAGTTTGCTTCATCCCTCTGTCCCACTGATTCCTAACTGAACAGCTTCACCCATTTTTCAATCGTTTAGTGAACCTACTCTGTTAGGCATCATATGGTAGCAAAACCCAGAAACATTCCCCCTCCCCGCCGTGGGAGAGGGGAAGTCTAGTTTCTGTCAATAATGACAGTGCAATAGTCTGGGTGCTATAAGATGGAGACACACAGGTGGTGACCAGTGGGCGGGAATGTCAGCCGGTGGGGAGAGGCAGAGGGAAAGGAAGACTTCAAGGAGGATAGCACATCTGTGCTGGGCTTTAAAGAGCACAAAGGAGGCCAGGCACAGTGGCTTACGCCTGTAATCCCAGTACTTTGGGAGGCCGAGGCAGGGGGATCACAAGGTCAGGAGTTCGAGACCAGCCTGATCAACATGGTGAATCCCTGTCTCTACTAAAAATACAAAAATTAGCTGAGCGTGGAGGCACATGCCTGTAATCCCAGCTGCTCAGGAAGCTGAGGCAGGAGAATCGCTTGAACCTGGGAGGCAGAGGTTGCAGTGAGCCGAGATCCCACAAACCATTGCACTCCAGCCTCGGCCACAGAGCGAAAAAAACCACGAAGGAGTTTTGTAGGCAGAGGAGGAAGGGCCATCTAGGCGCTAAAACTGCACAGACAAAGGTGTGAGGAGTGCTTGGTGGTCTGCTGGGTTTCGGTGGAGTCTAGTCTTGCTGGAGTGCACAAAGTGGGCCTGGGAAGGTGAGACATGGCTCAGTTATGAAAATGTTTGAATATCTTGCAAGCTCCATTCTTGTTCTCATCTCCACGCTTTTACTAATGGGGCGACCCTGCTGGGAACACCACTTGGCCCCCTCCCTTAGAGCCTCTCAGCACCCTAGGAGACAGATTCTTGCCTCTCTCCCTGGCTTTTCTTTTTTGTCTGTTTTCTCTCCTTCATGTAACATCCCTGCCTCATCCTTTTGGCCTCTTCTGGTCAAACCTGGTGAAATGGACCACCTCCCGCGACTACCCCCACCCCAGGGGACTGCATTTTTGACAGGGGCGGATCTCTCCAGAGCGAAGCAACTCGCACCCTCCCGGGAGGGCACCTCCTCCACGCCAGGCCTCGCCGAGGCAGGGGAATCTCAGAGTTGGGGAGCCCCGAGGCTGCCCCCTGCCAGCAGCAGTCAAATGGGCAGATGGTCGGCTGTGGGGTGGGACAGGGCCTACCTGTAGCTGGAGCCGAAGCTTCGGAAAGTGTTCCTGGGAAAGAACGGGACGGGTGAGCCCGAGGGTGGGGGACGACCCTCTCTAGGTGCCTCACTCGCACCTCGGGAGCCACCCCCCTCTCCCTGCCATCCATCCTGAAGGGTTCCAGGGCGCCTTCACCCAACCCAAATGCCTCCACTCTGCAAGGGTGGAGTTGCCAGGGATAGCAAGATGCTCTCTGTGTAGTAGGAATTACACATGTATTTATTTTGAAATTGCAATTTGTTTGTAGTATATTAGAGCCAATCAATCAATTTTTCCCGGTTCTCACGTTTTCAAGGGCCACTGCATGTGCGCTAGGAAAGCGGCCCAGACCCCATCCTCCCTCCTCCGGATATGGGTCCCGGGGTGCGTGGCGTCACTTACAGGGAGTCGAAAGGCAGGGGCTTCTGTCCGTAGCGGTCCAGGCTGGGGTTCTGGTTGAGGCAGTACTGCGGCGGGCAGCAGGGATGGGGGCGCGGTGAGTCGGGGGGTGAGTGGGGGAGTGAGTCGGGGAGTGAGTCGGGGGAGCACGGACACCTTGCCCACGCCCCACACAGTGCTCCCTGCTTGAGACCGTGGCCCTCAAGACTGAGAGGCCCTGCTCTGAGAGGCCCTGCTCTGGGAGGCCCTCCTCCCTCCCCAACTCCGGGTTTACGTCGCTCCCCACCAGAACCTCCCCAGGGACGGGTCTGCGCGCAGCGCTCCCTACCCGCCAGCTCTGGGTCACGTCAGGCTTCAAGTACCGCACCGCGTAGCCGCTGAAACCCTCCACTGCGGACAGAGAGCCTCTCTGGAGCGCCCCGCCCTCCCCAGGACCGCCCCAGGAAAGCCCCGCCCCTCACATAAGCCCCACCCAAACCAAGCCCCGCCCACACGTGCTCGGAGAACAGGCCCCGCCTCCCCTGCCCGGCCTGGGCAAAGTCCCCGCCTTGACTGCTCCGCTTGGCCTCAGCCCCACGGGAAGCCCCGCCTCCAGGTCAGCACGCACCACTCGGCCCCACCCGCCGCAAGTGCAGCCGCTGCACCCCAGCGGCCCCGCCCTGTCTCTTCTGTCCCTCCTGCCCCCCACGCTCCTGCCCGCAGTCCAGGCTTCCTGTCCAGCCCAGCGGCCCACCTGCCCGGCAGTTCCTTTAGCCGCCCGTAGACTGACCTCTCTTGCTCAGGCAGGGCAGCTTGAACTCCCTGGCCGAGGACACGAAGCGGGACCAGTCCTCTATGGCGCGCGTGAAGCAGGGCCAGTCCACTCGGTTGATGCCCGGCGCGATGGGCACCAGCTTTCCTTCCTGGTACCTGTTGTGGAGCTTCTGGCCTGTTGCGGTGATGTCCTGCCAGGTCCACGCAGGTCAGGGCCGCGCAGCCGTAGCTGCAGAAACCCAAGGCAGCCATCCCAGTCCACCCTAAAGGCCTAAGCTGACAACTGGACTGGGGCATCTGACAGAGGGGGCACCCGAAGTCAAGAACCCGGATGGGGTGATGTGGGGAGTGTGAGTCCCAAGCAGGCACCTGAGGAGGTGCTAGGCGAGTAGATCCCAGGACCAGAGGTGCTTGAGGCTGGTGCCCCTTAGCAAACCCAGGGGTAGAGCAAAGGACACTCACCAAGCACTGCAGGGGTTTGTTGGGGATCCCAAGGAGTGTAAAATGGGCGTTGTCAAACTCATCTATTGAAACAAGAGAAAGGGAGAAGTATCTCCTTCACCAGTGGTTAGAGGTCATAGGAGAACTTTGGCCCACACTGTACTTTAAAAAATTTTTGAGGCCAGGCACGATGGCAGATGACTTGAGGTCAGGAGTTTGAGACCAGCCTGACCAACATAATGAAACTCTGTCTCTACTGAAAGTACAAAAATTAGCCAGGCCTGGTGGCATGCACCTGTAACCCCAGCTACCTGGGAAGCTGAGGCAGGAGGCTCACTTGAGTCCAGGAGGTTGAGGCTTCAGTGACCATGCCACTGCAGTTCCACCTGGGTGACAGAGCAAAATCCTGTTACAGTGAGCCAAGGTCACACCACTCTACTCCAGACTGGGCAACAGAGCGAGCCTCTGTCTCAAAAGAAAAATAAAAGAGGGAGAGAGAGGTCACAAGACTAAGAGAACAGACTCCTTGTGGCAGTAAGATACCGAATTATTAACAGGACCTAAGACCATGCCAGGCAAGGGTTAAACCCAATCTTGGTTCACTATAACCTCCGCCTCCTGGGTACAAGCAATTCTCCTGCCTCAGCCTTCTGAGTAGCTGGGATTACAGGCACCTGCTACCCCACCCGGCTAATTTTTGTATTTTTTGTAAAGATGGGGGTTTCACCATGTTGGCCAGGCTGTTCCCGAACTCCTGACCTCAAGTGATCTGCCTGCCTTAGCCTCCTAAAGTGCTGGGATTACAGGCATGAGCCACCATGCCCTGCCTAAATTTATAAATTGCTGATTTTCCAGTTAACAGTAATAAAAAGTTGGGGAACAAAATAACATGTGTTTGTATTCCCATTAGTAAGTCAGACACTAAGAATGGTGGGGGATTACCTGTAAGGGGGGCAGTGGGAGTGAGACTTGCTGCTGTGCATATTGTTACAGCATTTTGAATTTTGAAGTTGTGACTATTACATTTATTTAAAGCATATGCTTACAATAAAATACATATCTACATCAGAGCTTCCCTTAAAAATCTAGATTCCTGGCTTCTCTTGGAAGCAGGAAATTGGAAGAACTGGTGACCTGGCTGGCCCCTCCAACATAGCACAGTCAGGGGGGAGTGCCGCGGCTGCCGTTTAAACAGGGCAGGTGTTGGTGCCCCATTTCCCTGTGGACTGTCCCTTCCCATGGCCTCCCTACCCACTTCCCTCATTTGTGTTTCCCATCAGGGCCTGTATGGCAACTCTGGTGATCTCTGTGTGGTCTCTGACACCCTCAGCCTGCCTGTCACTGAAGCTGGAGCCTAGGTATGGGCCTGCACGCACCCTCTTCCGCCTCCCACCTCGCCCTGCCTGCACCTTCTCCTGTTCACTTGATCTGCTAAATACCTTCTAAATCCCTCCACACACAAGCTCCTCAGTCCACACGGGGTTATTTACTAGGCCCGTGGGGGTCTTTTGCCCTGAAGGCCCACACGTCCTCCTCTCCTGCAGGGGGCTGTGAGGAGGGGTCTTTTTCTCTCTTTTCCACATACAGAGGGGCTTGGGGAGAAGTTGTTATTGCTGTGACTCCTACCTCTGTACCTACCAACCTCTGCCCAGTTCTCTCTCCATTCATTACAACAGGTTAGGCACAGCAGCTCACACCTGTAATCTTAGCGCTTTGGGAGGCCAAGGCAGGAGGATCGTTTGAGCCCAGGAGTTTGAGAGCAGGTTGGGCAATATAGGGAGACCCTGTCTCTACAAATAATTTTTAAAAATTAGCTGGGCATGGTGGCTCGTGCCTGTGGTCCCAGCTACTTGGGAGGCTAAGGTAGGGGGATCATTTGAGCCTGGGAGGTCAAGGCTGCAGTGAGCCATGATCATGCCACTGCATTCCAGCCTGGGCAACAGTGTAAAACACTGTCTCCCCAAAACAAAAACAAAACAAAATGACAATAACAATAATGGCATCAGCAACATTTTTTTTTTCAGACGGAGTTTCACTCTTGTTACCCAGGCCGGAGTGCATTGGCGCAATCTCGGCTCACTGCAACCTCCACCTCCTGCATTCAGGCAATTCTCCTGCCTCAGCCTCCTGAGTAGCTGGGATTACAGGCATGTGCCACCATGCCCAGCTAATTTTTTATATTTTTAGTAGAGATGGGGTTTCACCATGTTGATCAGGATGGTCTCAAACTCTTGACCCAGTGATCCACCCGCCTCGGCCTCCCAAAGTGCTGGGATTACAGGCTTGAGCCACCGCGCCCGGCCAGCAACATTTTTTGAGCAGATATTATGTGCCAGGCACTACTCTAAGTGCTTTTTTTTTGAGATGGAGTCTTGTTCTGTTGCCAGGCTGGAGTGCAGTGGTGCAATCTCAGCTCATGGCAACCTCCGCCTCCTGGGTTCAAGTGATTCTTCTGCCTCAGCCTCCTGAGTAGCTAGGATTACAGGTACCTGCCATCACGCCCGGCTAATTTTTGTATTTTTAGTAGAGACGGGGTTTCACCATATTGGCCAGGCTGTTATTGAACTCCTGATCTCAGGTGATCTGCCCGCCTCAGCCTCCCAAAGTGCTGGGATTACAGGTGTGAGGCCCTGAGCCTGGCCTGTAAGTGCTTTTTGCACTTTATCTCCTAACCACACAACAGCCTTTCGAGGCAGGTCCTGTCATTCTTCTCATTTTACTGAGCAATAAACAGAGGCTCAGACCTGGCCAAAGTGTCCTGGGCAGGGAGCAGAAGTGCTGGGACTTGCCTCTTTCATCCTTGCATGTCACCTTCTTTCTTGAAACCATCTACCCCTTCCCCAAAGGGGATCCTGCACCAGCGGCCTGACCTTTGCGGCAGTAGCTGGTGGACTGGCAGTGCTCATCAGGAAGGCAGGCCTTGACGGTGTCCCTGTCCATGTGGCGCAGGGTGGGCAGGGCCGGGTGGTAGAGCTGCTGCTTCACGCCCGCCAGCTGGTTGCGCTGCCGCTCCACAGGAAGCAGGATGGCCGGGGAGGCATACACATGAGTGGAGCCATCGTCCCAGGGCACCAGGTCGATGATGCGGGCCATAGCTGGGGATGCAGAGGGTTCTAAGGAGCTCACCCTGGGCTCATGCTGGCCAGACACCCTTCTCTGCAGAGAAGGCCAATGGCGATGTCTACTTGCGAAACATTTATTTAGCACCTACTTTGTGCCAGGCCATTTTTCAGGAGCTCTGCATGGGGTGGCAGGAACATTCAGATAACAGAAGACAACAGAGACAATCCTCCCACTGCCCTCCCAACACACACACACACACACACACGTTGTGCCATGGCTGTGAGGGAGGTCAGTACAGAGCGTTTGTGTTTTTCTGGGGAGGCTGGGGTTGGGACATTCAAGAAACGGTCTAAAAGAGGTGGTATTTTAGTCTATTCTTTTTTTTTTTGAGACAGAGTCTCACTCTCTTGCTTAGGCTGATGTGCAGTGGCGTAATCTTGGCTCACTGCAACCTCCGCCTCCCAGGTTGAAGTGATTCTCCTGACTCAGCCTCCTGAGGACCTGGGATTTCAGGCACTCACTACCACACCCGGCTAGTTTTCATATTTTTAGTAGAAACAGGGTTTTACGGTGTTGGCCAGGCTGGTCTTGAACTCCTGACCTCAAGTGATCCACCTGCCTCAGCCTCTCAAAGTGCTGGGATTACAGGTGTGAGCCACCACGCCTGGAGAGTCTATTTATGAGCAGGAAAGGGTAGAAGCAAGTGGGTTCAAAATGTAGCTCCATGTGCCTATGCTTCTGGGTGAATAATTATGGACTTGCCTTAGCTAAGGTATTTACCTAAAATTCTACGGATTGACTCAGAAAGATTTTTCAGGAAAGGGAGCAACATGATATAGTTGAACTAGAAAAGCATTACTGGGTACCCAGTGCCTCCCTTTAAAAAGCAGTTAGTCCCAGGAGCCTTTCAGTCATTTACACTTTAGTGAGAATTTCTCAAGGCTGCTTGCTTTCTTCCTGACCCTAAGTTAGAGGTGAGAGGTAGAGGTGGGAGCAAGGGTGGCAGGAGGAGAGAGGACCTTAGATCATGGAGGAGCAGGGAAGGGGCGTGGTGATAAGGCAAGGGGAAGCTGCCTTAGGGGATGGGACTGCCTGGAGAGGGAGAGGGAAAGGGAGAGGGCTCACTAAGATGTGGAAGAGATGGATGGGGGGGTCCCTGCTTCTCACTCACCAATAGCAGCTACCTTATCTGTAGGGCCCAGGCCCAGGTGCACAGGCTTATAAGGACTTTCAGCTCTTCAACTGCTCAATGGGCAGAAGAGGAAGTGAGGTGGGCGGGTCCCTTATTATGGACAGCAGCAGAATAAAGGAATATTGTGCACACACAATGCCCATTGCAGCCTGATTCTGAGCACCCACTCCTTAGCAACCTTGGCAACTGTAGGCTCTAAGAAGAGCCTGTGCCAGAATTTCTGTGCTCTGGCCACTCCCTTCTAGCCTTCCTGAAGTCTGTGGTCTCCCAGGCCTCAGCACAGGCCAGGCATCTTGGGAAATGTCAGACAGGGAGCAGGAGTTCTCTGGAGGTGGTCAGGCCAAGGCAGGCCAGAAATGGCTGCTGAGTCCACTGCAGGCTGTGTGATCCTGGGCTAGTTACCACACCTCTCTGGGCCTCGAGGGTCTCCTCTGCATTAGGCAAGGATTCTAGGGCCTGCCATTAGGAGGATCTGGATGCCGAGAGGGATCTCCCCTCCCTGCAAACCTCAGGGAAGAGGGCACTGCACTGTCTGCCAGCCCTTGAGTCTCTAGGGGTGGAGATTAGCTGTGGCCAGTATCCAGGGTAAGCGTGAGGGGATCAGGGAGAGTGGTGGCCTCAGCAGGCCAGGGATTAGCAGATGATACTCCACCCTTAGCCCCTGCAGGACTGCAGGCTCCCCACTCCCAGGAAAGGCAGGCTGTGAGTACCTGAACCCAGCACACCTGATGCCTGCCCACCATCCTAGTCACAACCATTAGAGACAGACCCCAACCAAGGTGAGGAAAACTTAGGAGAGCCTCACTTATTTGCATATACCTGCCCAGGGGCTGAGCCTGATGATGGGTCTTGGAGCCCGTCATGTGAGATTCCTGTAGGATTTCTTTTCCCAGTTTCTCCTCCTCCAGTGCTTGAAGAACAGCATCCCTAAGTACTGCCCCTTATAGAAAACCTTCCCTGAGTTGACTCCACTCACCACCCCCCATCCACAACTTGTTTCTTGACTTTTTATTTTTTTTTTGAGACGGAGTCTCGCTTTGTCACCCAGGCTGCAGTGCAGTGGCACAACCTCCACCTCCTGGGTTCAAGCAATTCTCCTGCCTCAGTCTCCTGAGTAGCTGGGATTACAGGCACATGCCACCACACTTGGCTAATTTTTGTATTTTTAGTAGAGACGGGGTTTCAGCATGTTGGCCATGCTCGTCTCGAACTCCTGACCTTTTGATCCTCCCGCCTCAGCCTCCCAAAGTGCTGGGGTTACAGGCATCAGCCACCACACCTGGCCATTTATTCTCTTTTAAAGTTTTAAAAGAGAAGAAATACAGACAGTGCATAAATATATAATGTAACTAATAATTTACAAAATGAGACCCCATGAAACTACCACCCACCTTGGTCAAGACATGGAGTACTACTTTTAAAACAGGTTAGCAGTTTCTTAAAAAACAAAGCAGAATTGTACCATATGATTGGGTCATATGGAAGATTCTATCTCAGGAGTCTTCCCAGGAGAAAAGTATGTTGTGAGGTGCAGTGGCTCACGCCTGTAATCCCAGCACTTTGGGAGGCTGAGGCAAGTAGGTCATGAGGTCGGGAGTTCGAGACCAGTCTGGCCAACATGGTGAAATCCTGTCCCTACTAAAAACACAAAGGTTAGCTGGGCATGGTGGTGCGAGCCCGTAATCCTAGCTACTAGGGAGGCTGAGGCAGGAGAATCACTTGAACCTGGAAGGCGGAGGTTGCAGTGAGCCAGGATCACACTACTGCACCCCAGTCTGGGCGACAAGAGCAAGACTCCATCTCAAAAAAAAAAAAAGAAAAGAAAAAAAAGAAAGTATATGTCTACACAAAGACTTGCACATGAATGTTCATAGCAACATGATGTACAGCCAAAAAGTGGAAACAACCTGTGTCCACTGATGAGTGGATAAATTGTGGTGTATCTATCCCCTGCAATACTCCTGGGCAATGAAAAGAAATGAAGTTCTGATACATGCTATGAGGCGGATGAACCTCAAAAATGTTATGCTGAAGCCAGATGTGAAAACCCACATACTCTATGACCCGTTTATATAAAATGTCCAGGAAAGACAAATCTGTAGA